GTCTCATTCCTGTAGGGGCTCGTGTCATAGCATGTTACGTGAAGCTTCGTTTCCTCCGACTGGGTGGTGTACATTGTATAGATGTGTTTCCTACCATAAGCGATTGGTTCTTATTTTATGTTTATATTTTATGCTGTGTTATAGTGTGCTTTTCAGTAATATTATATTATATTACACGTAACTGATTGCATTATTTTTTTTCTTTGTGTTTTGTTGAGATGTAAAATATCACATCGTATTTTTGTTTTGTTATATTGGATGTTTTTATTTCGTGACCTGTAGTATTATCCCGTTTCCTTCTTTGACTCGTAAATACCTATGTCTATGTTAAGATCTCGTGATAATCGCCTAAATTAATGTTTGAGTATCGTGGTGCTCTGTCGGGCACCTGAGATCTTAGATTAAGTTTTGCGTACGTGTGTGTTGACAGGCAGAAGACTTACCTAGTATGTGCCTGATGTAGTGTCATGTTGTGTATACGTGTGTGTCATTGTGTGTGTTTGTTTTTATCACAATGTTTTATTATGCAATCTATATAATTTCCAGTGTTTAATGTGTTTTGTAATATATAACCTAGTTAGTGATGTTCTTAAGCAAAAAAAATACCATTAATGTATAGTGTGCTGTGTGTGAGAGTGTAATACCACTGTAATATACGGTGTGTTGTGTGAGGTGTATTACCATTGTACTGTATGGTGTCGTTATTATGTGTTAGGGTTAAGTGAGATTCTTGTGTATTAACCTTTTCTCGTGTATTTTTTTAATATATTTCTGTCATTTTGTATCGCACTGTTTTAAATAAAATATAAAAAAAAATATTTGCAACTGCTTTACTGCCACCTTTGTTGAGTGCGGATTTATCTGTTGTTTGTAGTGACTGTGGGATGACCCACTGTCCACAGAATATTTAAGGTACGTGAAAGGGGGTTTCTTGCAGTTCTTGATAAACACGGAGTTCCACGAGTCTGGGCCTGGGGCAGAGTGCATGGACATGTTATTTATTCTTTTTCACAGTGTTATGATTATATAAGAATACTTGAATTAACCCAATTTTGAGTCTCGGTCATAAAAAAAAACATTTAGATCGTCGACCCTTAATCTGATTAACTTCTCACTAAACACCGAGTCATATTAGGAATTCAGTATCTCACTCATTTCTTAGCTGTCCTCTGTGAAAGTCCCGTCTCGTTTATGCAAGGGTCCAATACTGGACGTGGGTTTTGCCCTAGTTTTGGAGTAAGAAAAGAAGTTTTTTTTCCAGTTTCATTTATTGCTTTTAAGTTCTTCCTGTGTTATGGATTTTAAGTTCTTCCTGTGGCTCTTTTATAATTATTTAAGCTGAAGTTCGATATTGTTCTATTTCTCTGGCCAGTCCTCCTTCTGTATGTCAGACAGACTGGCCCCTTTCAGCAGCTTTGTGATTCTTCGCCTTCTCTCCTTCTAGTTTTCACCTTCTCTTTTTTTTCTTTTAGAGGAATATGCTTTGACCATACCTCGATTCCAGCATTGTTAATTCTTTCGAGACAAAGGTTCGGATTCGTGTTGTTTAGAAAATCATCCCAGCATGTTTTATTTAGGACATGATTTATATGGTCCTACTGAATGTTTCTGCTATTGAAGTTGGATTTGGAGAAGGAACCCTTATCACTATTCTCATTTTGCTGGTAAGGAACCTAACACATACTTGTCAGTACCTTGATTTTGTTGTATTGTCTTTGATACTTTTATATTTCGTACCAGATAATCATAATTACTGACGATAAGGTCAAGTGTACTTTCCAGCCTTGTTGGTTCCACAATTTGCTGGCTTAAGGTTAATTTGTTGCAGAGATTTATTAGCCTACGTGTGTGTGTGCATTTTCATCTGTGCTCCCTAAATATTTAAATGCTTGATATTTTCCAATGACATAATTATTTACATGCAGCCATTGATTAAAAAAACTTATGAGGTATCCCAGAAGGGATTCCATTAAAAGGTAGCCGGAATTTTTTCTTTTAAGTTTTCGTTTCCATCTTCCTACGACATTTCGATTTTATTTTGTTCACGACTCGCTAACTCCTATCCCAAACATCTTAAAAATTTCAACCTTTGTTTACAGTAACAGGGACCAAATTCTTATACAAAAATAGGAGAGGAGAGCTTATGACGACGTTTTGTTCCGATGTGGATCATTTACAGAGTCACAAAAACAGAAAAGAGAGATGGAGTCAGTATATTTAGACCATCCGGCAGGGACGAGGCAAGAAAGGTGAGAAGAGTGATTGTGGTAGTGGTAAGGCAGGTAGTGAAAGTAGTAGGAGGAGTAGTAATGTAGTATAAAGTAGGGAGAGGGGTTGGTGGGACAAAAATAGAAAGGGGTAATGAAGGGTGAAGGGAAGCAAAAGTGAAGGCAGAGGCCAAAAGTATTATGAAAGGAAATAATAGTAGCAGACGGGTCCATCAAAGTTAAACGTGAGGAGCACTGCAGAGTGCTAAGGCTTATAAGGGGTAAGACCAAAACCACAGGGAAACGGGGAGGGGGGGATGATAAAATGAAGGATAGAGCAACCAAGGCAGAAGAAAGGAAACCAAAAACAAGAAAGAGGATAAATAAGAAAGGAGAAGAGGCACAGAGGAGAAAAAAAAAAGGTTAAGTCACATGTTCTACGAAGTTTCTAGCATTTGACAATGTAATGGGAAAGAAAGGCATCTACAGAGACAAAACCACGACTAAGATTAATACAAGGAAAGTTGTGTAAAGGGAGCTGTGAAAGTTAGAACCAGTGTAAACAGTTCTAACAGAAGACCAGTCAGTAGGATGATTGTGATCTCTAACATGACAGAAAAGTGCATTATTGGTGTCGGTAAGCCTAACATTACTTTTGTGATGGCAAGTTGACGTATCCTATGATATAAATATTGTTGAACCTATTCCCAACATCCTGGAATGACTCAGACATTACAGCTTCAAAAGTTTAAAGGTGCTAAGAAAAAGTCGACAACGGCGGAGAGTGAAGCCCAAAATTGGAAGTTTAAATTTGACGATTTTATTAATTTTATTAACACAATTTGAAAAGTTTATTCCACTTCAATAAGGTCAAATAATTTTCAATTTAATGGCTAATGCATCTTAAGGCCAAGACAGGTCTTATTAATTTTCATTTACCTCCTGGCAAATTTGTTGATATATTGGATGCCTTAAGCCCCACTTTCATAATTTTGGTGATTAAGTGGAGATAATCAATTTCATTCTTTAAGTAAAGAATGTTTCTTCTGATTGACTTCAATTTTTATTGACGAAACATTTTGCAAGAAGGATATTACCCCATAAGTTTAGTCCGAGTAAGTGCAGATTTGAAATTTTACTGATATAGTTAAAAACTTGGAATTGCATGAATCAGATCAATTACTAGATAATGACTTTTCAAATGTTATTTGCTGCGCTTTTTTAAAAGATAGTTTAACACTCACCTTTTGTGTGAAATTCTATTTTCAAATATAGTTATGTAAATTGTTTGAAATATCATAACTAGAGAATGTCTCCTCTGATCCTCTTCAAACACTAAAAACCGAGGCATCTTAATTGCAAGTATTTTGTTTTTAATTACTGGCAGGCCTCATTTTACAGCATTTCATTTTACAGCGTTTCGCTAATACAGCGGTTTTCACATATACCCAATCTCCAATATACCTAATCTACGATAAATGTATTCACCACTCACTATAACCTAAGAGCGAAAATATTTTAAAGTAATATGTGTACTGTATATCCATTTTTTTAAGCCTATCTATATTGCTCACTTAATATACGATAGTGTCAACATGTTATAAGGCTTTTTTATTCGCTTGCAAGTGAAAAAAGACAACGGTTCACTTTACAGCGATTTTCGCTTTAAATTAGAGGTGTTTCGTTGATTTAGAGGGGTGTGTGCTGGTCATTTTAACACTATAAATTTCGATTTTTTTTTGTATTATTTTAAGTTGTTGATTTATTATGCCTTGATGCTAGTGAAGGGTTCTTGATCCAAGGACTGCAGTGATTTTCCCTTAGTTTTAATGTAATTTGAATGCCTCTCATTCCACAGGCACTAAATGACCCTTACGAACTTAGACCTGTCCTCTGATTAACATTTAAAATTGTGAACTGCATTAATCTTCAATGGCTGATCTTTCTTTCTTTCAACAAATCAGCCGTGTCCCACCGAGGGTGGGTGGCCCAAAAAGAAAAACAAAAGTTTCTCTTTTTAATTTTAGTAATATATACAGAAAAAGGGGTTTCAGTAGCTGATATATCGTATAAAATGGATGGAACATTTCATGAGTTTAGGCTGTGTAGGCCAATTTTAATCAATTCTGTGCAGTAACAGGACACTGCATCTTCTCGTCAGATTTAAACTTTTACTGTTGATATGTTTTCCTGAAGGGAAACAGTGTCTTAATGTTAAGATGTGCAAGTTATGTGCCTCTCTTGTTTATCAAATTGGCTTCTGTTAAAAAATTGGCAAATATGTCTTCTAGTCAGAAATAATTCATTGTAAGTTACGAAAACTAAGGGTACATAAAACTAAACTATGGCTAATTTTATATACAGAAGAGTTAGAATTGTTTTTTTACTGTATACTCTCTAATTTCATATTTTGAAAAAAAAAAATGGAAAAACTGAAATACTGCTTTTCCTGTAATAATTTAGGAGTTTCGCATCTAATTAGCTTCAACTCTTCTCTGCTGAATACTTCAGAGAGCAAAATATGTACAGTTTCAAACTTTGGTTCTGCTCAAATATTTCAATTAGATGTTGGATGTTTAACATTCTTATTGAAGAAATTTGTATATTAGTTTCCAAATTATGATTTGTGAATGCTCTTTCTGATTTCCTTCATATCTTAAATGTTTAACTGCATTTTTAACTTACGCCACGAGCAATGAAAGAGGTGACTGGGGTTATGAATTACGAGGATATCTTATATTGAGATGAAATTAGAGTGTAGGTATATCAAACTGACAGCCAAGTACCACTTACCTAAAATAAATGTGATAAAGCAAATTAAATTCCACAGAAGCATGTTGATACAATTGTACTACCAAAGAAGAACACAATGAAGAGGTACGCACTCACACACACACACTAAGTCACAGAAGGAACCTGCTAAACACTATTATACAACCATTTTACCAGATGACATACATCATTTTATTCACACGATTGTGGGAGGTCGTTTAGAGTATCATGGAAGAAACTACACCTGCTATCAACTGATTAATTTCCCAGCATTAAGAATCTGTTATAATTTATTATTTGTTCTTCAGCATAATGTATATCTTATAACCAAACATACGACTTTTACTAATCTTAAGCTAACCGACATCTTAATTATACATGTATCAAATAAATTTTTGTCACTGAGGAATGACTTGCACAAAAAACACAAACTCACCCAGCACATCATTCCTTTTTTTTC